CCCGCAGCGCCGCCCTCTCCCCCGCCCCACACCCCGTGCGCCCGCCCTTCCCATTGGCTGAGCTGCGTGGAGGGCTCCCCCCGCGCAGAGCCCCAAGCTCAGCCCAGGAGCCCCCTGGACTCGCGCTCCCCGAAGAGGGGGAAGGGACCCTTAGGTAGTGGAACCATGAGGACAGGTGCGACAACTGGCCTTGAGGAGGCCATGGAGGAGACTGGGGATTCCGCCCCCATCCCTGGACTGGAGGGCCTGGGGAACCTGCCTTGAAGGGAAAGGGGCGGGTCCCTTAAACCCTAGTCCCCCACCACGCCAGGCGCCGGCTTGGTACACACAGCATGTGCTCAATGCCTGCTGTAGGTGACATCGGCAGGCAAGCCAGGCCTGAGCCCTGGGAGGACAAGCCCAGGGTTAGGGGAGACCCAGGAAATGTGAAAGGCAAGACAATCTGGAGGCCCCAGGATAGCCGAGATTTTAGATAAGTGTGGATGAGACTTAGAAGGGGCACGCACCCAGAGCGGGGGCGCCCCCCCCCAACACACACAATACACACACACACACACACACACACACACACACACACACCCCTCAGGGGTTATTCCGGGCCCTCCTGCCCAGAGAGGGCCATTCTGACAGGAGTTGTGGCCTCCTAGCTGTGGGATCAAAGAAAAGCCCCTGAGAGCGAGGTTCCAGCCGGGGGATCCCCTTGTGCGAGCGGCCCGCCCTTTGCCTGCAGCGCAGAGACAGCCCTGCAGGCCCAATCCGCGGCGGGCTCGGGGCCCTGCGGCGCTGCGGCGGCCCAGCCCCTCGGAAAACCCTGGCCTAGCCGCCGGCCCCTCCCCCCAGGCCAGCTGGCTCGCTGCAGCTGCAGCTCCCTTATTTAGGCAAGGAGGCCTGAGGATGCTCAAGGGCAGGCAGGGTGTCTGCCTGCCGCCTGCCCACCTCCTGCCTGGGTCTGAGTGAGGGTCTCAGGGCGCGGTGTCCCTGGCCTGAGCCGCCAGGCAGGGCCTCGGGAAGGCCAGAGCTGGGAGGCGAGTGTTGACAGCTGAGCGGGCAGGCCGGGAGAAGTCCACAGCTGAGCAGCCGGCCGGGTCCCCTCCCCTGCAGCCTGGATCAGAGACCCGGCTAGACGGATGGGGCCATGTGGGGGCCCCTGAAGGCTTGCAGCTGCCTCTGTCCTTGGAGCAAGGGGGTGGGTCTTGTCACCAGGGAGAACCATCATGGGATGTGGGGGAAGGGGAGGAACAAAGGGCAAAGAAGCAAGCCTAGTCTGAAAGGAGAAGCGCCCAGAAGAAGAGGTCTTGGTGAGACTATCCTACCCAGACTCTCACCTTCCACCCAGGAGCAAAGAGATGCAAACACTGGGGCCAGATGGGGCAACTGACCAGCAAATGACACCCCTTTTTCATTTGCTGGTGGGTGGGCAGTGAGTCAGGGAGGCAGCCAGTGGGAGAGAAGGAGGTGGCTCCATCAGCTGATGCTAAAAAAGACCAGAGGCTCTCGTCTGTACAGTCATCCCTTCGGCCGTCCCCACCTCCAGCAGCTTCCTCACTGGCATTCTCATTCACACTCCAAGTGCCCAGGGCCTTCCGTGGCAAGACGCCCCTTCCTCTGTGATCTGGCATCAGGGACATCAACCCACTTGGCTGCTGGGTGGAATCCAGTCTATGACTGGCCCAGCCCCTCCCCAACCCGCGACCACCCCCTGCCCTAAGTCCAAGGTAATTCCCATTTGAGTGGGGTGTCTTCCCCTCCAGGTGAGGCAATTTAGAGAGGCAGAAAGCGTGTGCAGTGAGAATGGGCACAGGCAGAGAGGACATGAAAGGGACACCTATGAGTAGCATCCCCTTCTCTCCAGATCAAGGGCAAGGGAGAGCCAGTCGGAAGTGGGGGGCTACTCATCTGGCCCCACCAGCTATCCTCACCGCGGTACCCATGTCCCCAGGAAGGCCTCTGGTTTCATCCCATGGGAGAACGGAGGAATCAGACGGGCTTTTGATCCTCCCAAAAGAGAGGACACAAGACTCAGAGTAGCCCTCCTCCTGGGCATAGAGGCAGGCAGGAGACAGGTAGGAGAGAGCTGCCCCCTGAAGATGATTGAGAAGAAGCAGACTCCTGTCTCTCTCTCTCTCTCTCTCTCTCTCTCTCTCTCTCTCTC